GCCTTGGTTTCAATTCTCAGCACCACATAAAAATTAATTAATAAAAAATAGGTATTGTGTCCAACCACAACAAAAAACAAAATATTAAAAAATAAAAAAACAAATTGTTAGACAAACAACCATAAAGTAGCATTTCTCTTGCATTAGTTTTCCAGCTTCTAACCAGTGAATTAGAGAGAGGAGACCAAAATCTGTGTCAAAAAATGGCAAATAGTGAAAGACCTATCCTTTTCTCCAAATGCTCTTAGAGTGTTAAAGATGGGAAGTATCTTTTGAATTTGTTTGGATTATCTTTTTTCATATTAGACAAAACAAGTAATAAATATCCTGGAAGGAAGCAATTCTGTCCCGTATCCCTCTATTTTTCTCTTTCATCCCAAGGTTTGATAGCAAGGTCTGGAAAGTTTTTCCCTTCATCAATGCTCATCTCTTGGGATTTCATTTTAGTTTTCACTTAATTTTTTTATAGTAGAGGATAAGCCATATAGTTGTTGTCATTTGTGAAGATATCTCCTTCTTATGTTACTCTGAATCTTTAAAACTTCTTCTTAAATTAATTCCTCAGATGAATTGTAATAGCTCAAAATTTTCTCACAGGCCAAATTTCTTTGCTTTAGCAATCACAAAATAACAATCATTATTAGTATTTTTCTATTTAATTTATAATATTTAGGATAAAAGGTAGGCAGTGAACAGAAATTTTAATAATTACTAAGCATCTCCTATTGCTAGTATTTTATAGACTTTATTTCATTTACTTTTTTATGGCTTATGGAAACTGTTTTTATGTGCATTTCATTGATGAAGAAACTGCAACTTAGAGAGGATAAGTAAATTTTCCAAGACTGCATGACTGGTGAATGTCAGATCCAGAATTTGAACTTGAATTTTTCTGACTCCCTGCTTTTGCACTATAGAGTGCTGATTTGTACAGGACTTTAATTGTGGTGAACCTACTAGCCATATGTAGCAATTAAGTTAATTAAGATGAAATTAAATTAGACAATCAGTTCCTCAGTTACATGGGTCACATGAAAATGCTTCATCTCTGTCCACATGTGGGTAGCAACTACCATGCTGGTCAGGGCAGATGCAGAACATTTCCATCATCATAGAAAGTTCTACTGGATAGAGCTGTTCTACTAGAGTTTTGAGTTAATTCTAATTTGAATACCTATATTTAGAAACACATCTTTTTAGAAACCTGTATGCCCCTTGAAATTGAGACTTCTACATACTCAGGATAGAAGGTATAGCAGTGTCATGCAGTGTTCTGTGGTCTCTGACAAAAGTGTCTTATTGAATTGTCTTTATTCTTTGTATTTTTCCAAGGAAGCTTCAGGTTGGGGGTAGGGGTTTGGGAGGATGAGTGAAAAGAAAGGGGACTTTCTTAGACACTTATTGGAAACGTGTCTTAATTTCCTTTCTCAGGATCCTCTTCAAAATTCATTGCCTCCTTTTGCCTGAATTTCACCATATTATCTGATATAATATCTTTATTTTTCATTCCATGTAAAATCCCTCAGTGTGCTTCTTTTTTTTCACATTATTTAGTATCTTCTTTCCTGTACCATTTCTCCAGCTCTGTGCTATCTTTTGTTGAAATATAATGTTTCCATTTTCGTAAGATGCAGTACCAAGGACATCATCAGTTAACAGATCTCAAACATTTCCTATCTGTATTCTGGCTGATGGTTTCTTTTATTTAGTCTGATGTTAGTAATTAAAACATGTCTTGACCTCAAATAATTGTTTTTTGGTTGACTATTAGCTAAACTTCTAAGGAGGTTTTCTAAGGAAATTAAATAGATCTTTGAAAAATGTATTAAAGTATTTTTATTTTATTCATAAATATAATTATTAGTGATTTTGAAATGCAAACCCCTTTTTAAGAACTGAGAAATATACTTTGCTAACAGTGATAAAAATATGACAATGATTTTAAAGTCAGAATTCTTACAGGTCTATTTGTACTTAGTGCTTTTATTCCAAAGTAAGCTGTCACTTTGGATGACAATAAATAGACATTTGATATATTCAACTGATCTCTCATTTCACAACTAGATGTCAGTGTCAACATACCTGATTAATTATGTTAGATGTGATCATAATGGGGTAATCTAAGTATTTACTCAACCTATACAAGATATAGATCAGAAAATAAATGATAAAAAAGGAAAATAATTTTTAAAGACTACTTATTTCAAAGTGGAATGATTAATTCTGCATTTATATTTTAAAATTTCTCCCACATGAACAATTAAAATTTTTCATCTAGTTGATTAGGAAAGCCAGGTAGAGTATGAATTTGTGTCTTTTTACTCTGCCAACCAGAAGTTCTTCCCTGCAGCTTTCCCAGAAATGGCAATCAGTAAGAAGGAAAATTATTGTTCTTTACATGTAAATTTGCCTTTTAAAATTCAGTCCTCCTAAATGGAAGTATGGTATCTTTATCCTTTCCTTATAGATCCAATCTGACAATCTTTTTAAAATAATGTGTCTTGTGTTTCTGTAATTAGGATGGCCTACCTTTTCTTTTTAACCTATGCCTTCTGTTGATAAATATGAAATCCAGAATAATAACTGAAATGTCATGAGTAAAATCCGGGCAAAGTAATAGATCACAGTACTGTATATCCCTCCTTCTACTGTATTACCAAAAAATCCTAGTGGGTCTCTTTTCCTAGTTCTCTTTCTCCTTTGAGAATAACTACTCTTGAGTCATTTAAGTGAGAGAACTCACATAGACAATAGTGTATAGGATAATATCAACTTTGATATTTTAAAATACATTTCAAAATCACAGATTTTCAGAGACTGTAGATTTAAACTGCATGCTAGAAAATATGAGAATAACTTATTTTTCGAGCACAGTTTAGATTTTTACAAAATGATAAACTTTCTTTCTGTTTCCCACTGTTTTTATAAGTTTAATTTTTGTCTTAGAAACACACCCATACTCCAAAACAGTTCTGTTCTGAAGGGCAAGTTGAATTAATGTCAGTGATGTCTGAGTACTATAGGATGAGCATCTCTAATCCAAAATCCACAGTGCTCCAAAATCCAAAACTTTTTAACTACCAACATATCACCACAAGTGGAAAATCCCACACCTGACCTTATGTGATTGTACAGTCAAAATGCAGATGCACTAAACGTTCTGTATGAAATTTGTGTATGAGGTGTATATGAAACATAAGTGAAACATTTGTGTTTAGACTTGCTTATTATCCCCAAGCTGTTTTATTAAGCACATGCAAATATTCTGAAATCCAGAACATTTTTGGTTCCACACATGTAGAATAAGGAATACTTAACCTTATATTCATTTTTTTCTAATGGAAATGACTTTTTAGCTTATGCAGTAGATTCTAATTTTATAACAGTCTAAAATCTGTGCATCAATTCACTGAAAAAGTATACTTGCTTATTGGCTTTAAAAATCCATTCTTTCCTGAGAAAGAATTTTTAGCTCATCAGTTTTTGGAACTCCATATGAAACATTCATTTGGCAGTTGCTTTTTGTCAGGTTTTATGACCTCCAGGCACATAATACAAGAACATAAAATTGATTATTGAGTATGGTATAGATTCAGCACAACACTCTGGATTTTCAGTCTCTGAAAAGATGAAAGTCATGTTAACCAACTCTAGGCAATCACTGTTTGTTGCATATATTGTGGAAATGCAAGCAGACTACATCATAATGAATCTTAGTTAGCAAAACAATAAAAAACTACAATAAGTTCACTTAATTCTGTGCTCTCTTACAGTGATTAGTAACTTATTTCTTGACCTGAATTACAACAATTTTGTGATTTTACAAATTAATTCTTGGATACTAATATGTTTTTGTTCAGAAGTCTTATTTATGTTTTAAGATCTCTCTGATGCCTTTAAAAAAGATAGAATGTATAACACTAACTTGAACTAAGGTAGAAAACTAGTTATTGAATTTAAATTCAATTGGAGGCAGCTGCCTATAGTATAAACTAGACCTCAAAGTTTCCAGTGACCTATAAATAAGGCACAGAGACCTATAAATAAGGCACAGAGACTTTTCAGCAGGATACCTAGCTGAATTTTATACCTACCTAAGTGACTTAAGCCTAGAAGGTGCTTGGTAAATACTTATTTGGAGACATTTATGCCCCACCCCACCTGTTTTTCTCTATGGCCTCATCTCTTTTAGGCCTCAGTGTGAGGTAGCTCCTTAGACCTTAATTTTTTTCCACTTTTTAATGTTTGGGCTAAACTAAGCTAACCATTTATCAGAAAATGGTTATTAAAGAAATAACTATTTGGATCTGTTATTATAATAATGTTATGTTCTCTGTGATGATTTTGTTGTCTCAAATACTTTTATTTTTAAAACTCTTCACATTTTGTCCTGTTTTGGGACAGGATCTGCACATAATTGGGTTTATACATATTTTAGGGCTAAGGATCATAATTTCAAAATATAGCAGCAGCTACAATTACACAGTTCAAATTTTGACTGTCATTAAAGAATATGTTAAAATTCTCTGTATCCGAAATCATTTTGAAAATGCTTTTCTTCAGCAGAAGACAGATGGACAGTGAAAACATGCCTTTTAATTGCGTCCCTTGTTCTTATATTCTGTCCTGGTCTTTCATGAGTTTTTGTCTGTGAATCTTTTACATTTGGACACCAATTAATTGTTCACTTGTAAAAACTTCTCAGAACTTCAAGCAGGTAAATTTTGTAGTATGTAAATTATCTTCCAAGCTATTAGAAACACCTAAAAGCATTTTCAGTAGTATTATGAAGCAGCTTTGTTTTAATGTGAAAAGGTGAAGAACACATGGTAATTTATTTATATAAAGTTCCAAATATTGTGACTTTTAGAATATTCTATACTTTTCTTTTTTGATCTGTTTTAACATAGGAAGACTTCCTATTTGACTCATAATCATATATCTTAATGACAGAGAAAGTAAATATGAGGTAATGACTAAAATTTGAATCTTATTTTTAGCATTGGAATGCTGTTACAGAGATGAATCAGAGTACATACTCAAATATTCTACTTCATGCCTGGTTCCTCCTTTCCTAGTTTTCCATTGAGGTCTGAAATCTGGCTAACTAATTGAGTAAGTAAGGAAATATACTATACTAAATTCGGCTGTTTTGACTTTTCTCTGATGAGCAAATGAGATTAAGATCTTTTCTTTTAAGATATTCCATTTATCGTTACAGAAAGCTGTATACCTGCACAAGTGGTGGCTGCCGTTGATGTAAATACAGTTGCTAATGAAGTATACAAGTATAATTTTCCTCACACACAGTTACTGGCAAAGACAATTGAAGTGAGTTATTATTCTTATTTCATTATGTTTATAGCAAGGAAAACATGCTTAAAAATACTGTCAAATATTGGTTTCTGGTAGCTTAATTGGAAGGTAAGTCATCTAAATTTAAAAGAAATTACGAGAAAGAAATTACTATATTATATTCTGTCAGATGATAGATCACAAAATTTCATGCAAACCACTGTGTATCTTATGTGTAATCAACAAGGAAACAAATGGCAAGTGAGAAAAATATACCCCATAATGTTTGGTCAAGAGAGGAGACATGAAAACCCCAAGTCACTAGGCTGAAAGCTCCATTGAAACCTGTGTATTCATCCTGCTCACCCTGAAGGTGAGAGTGTGGATAAGGGACAGAGGCCTGCTCTAAGGTTAAATGGTCCAGCGGCTTTTTACCAACAACACTATGGCAGCAAGTACCTGAATGGAAGCTGCCACTGCTTCTCCCCATCTTTTAGCAAATTCCTGCATTCAAGTGGCCTCTAATAAAAAAAAATGAATAATAATTGGAAAGGAACCAATTTGAGGCTATACTTAGTAATTTTTAAAGGAAATAAGATATGTAAACAAACAAGCAGAATATGCAATAGAAAAATGATGGCAAGAAGCAGAAGAAAATTTCAAACAAGTCTCCATGATCTTCAATCACTAAATAAAACCTATCTTAAGATATCAGATAAATATATGCAAAGAGCAATGATAAGGTTTGAAAAGTATAAAAGGTCTGGAAAGAAAGAGGAGCAAAATAAAACCATTATAGAAATGAAAGTCTTGCCAGAGTAGCAAAAAGCAAAGTAGACCATACTCTAAATAGACTCTTAAAGAATGGAGCTTGAGAAAAATAAAGCAAAATAAAATGAAGACAGATCAGAATGTTGAAAAGTAAATGATACCTACTGAAGACAAAAATGATCCATGATAAATATAATCAGTGCTTCTGATGAAGATAGTAAATTAAATGGAACAAAAATATTTTATAGAAGCAGATGAAAAATTTATAAAATAAAACATCCAAGAATTCACAGATTTATTACTTACTCTAGCTAAGCAAGAGCTGAATCAAAATAGATAATCCAAGCATGAAGCCACCACATTAGAAAGAAATGATGATTAGAAAAAGGATAAGAATGTTGTAAAGCTTTGCAGTGTCGTGATGATAATGTCTGTAATTGGAGTGAGAAGGGGCACTAAGACTCAACAAATATGTTTATAGCAGATAAATGAAGCTATCAATATTTTAAGACATTATTTAATGTTTTTGTCAGGAACTCAGCAGAGCTGAGAAAGAGAAAGCTGAGCCTTTGCCTCCTTAACATTATGGTGTGAGTGAGACTCCAAAACTAGAGAAAATGCCTATTCCCTGTATTCCCTGTGTCCCTGTGGGTCAGTGTAAATGTCAGGCCATCTCAATGATGAGAAGCCCCTGCATTAAGGGGAGAGTGAGTGAGGAGTGTGAGGAGTGGAAAAGTGCTGAGCCCTGAATTTGGGGAGAACTGTCTTCAAGGTTTCCTTTTCCTTTCCCTTTCCCTGGAAGGAGTTCTTTGGTAGGGCATTTCTACCCAAGGTCTCAATCAAAGAGAATTAGAAATGGAAGTTCTGGAATTAGGAATGCAAGGTGTGAAGAGCATGATAGTTCAGGAGGGCTCTGAACTATCAGAGATCAGAACTGTGACTCCTTTGAGAAACTGCCATGCAGTATTGACTGTGCCAGCTCTGGGGTGAGGAAAGCAGGTCTTCCCTGGGAGGCTGCCTAGGAAAGCCTTTGTAATTAATTGCCTATGGTTAGGCCTGAAAGAGCACACATAGGTTTTTACCCAAGGATAGAATGCCTCAGTCTAAATTATAACTGGTGATAAAACTAAAATCAATAAGTTGTCTAGACAGCAAGTGGGAAATTACTAGTCAATCGTGTCCAAAGTTTATTTAAGCAGAAGCCTCGTCTGCTGTGTTCATTGTTGTATTCCTAGACCTAGCACAATGCCTGGCATATAATAGGTACTAGAAATATTGATGAACTAATTTATGAACATTGCTTTTTATTAGACCTTTATAATTATACTTAATATTTTGGTTAAGTTTGACAAAATAAAACATGCAAGGAATTTGATTTCAATTCCCTTTCTTCTCACTTTCCCGCCCCTCCTCCCTCCCTTTATTCTTTCTCCTCTCCTATATTGATCTTCCTTTCATTCATTTATTTATTTATTTTTGATTAGTATTTTCTACACATAATAAAGTGAAATTCTTTTTGGTATGTTTATATGTGTATGTAACATTATATTGTTAAATTCATTCCATATTTCTTCCCCTTTCCCTTCTTTCCAACTCTCACCCTCCCCCTTGCTCTCCTCCTCCTACTCTGTTGATCGACCCTATATCTTTGTGATATGAACAAATATTGTATCTAAAAAATGAACAAAGACATAACAGAAAAATGATAATAAAAGATAAAAGGTGTTTCAAAATTAGTATTAGATTAGATGGATTTCAAGGCCAAAAACATTTTAGAGTCTTAGAAAGTTACTTTATAATTATATTTGGTACAATCCTCAAGAAAGGTTTAATTGTTGTGAGTATATGTGGGTAAAATAGCATCAGAGTTGGTAGGGCAGGACATGATAACAAATACTCCTCAATAAATTTTTATTGAATCAGTATGATATGCTGCAAAATAAGAAAACCATTGTCTTATGAATATTAACTTAGTCCTAAATAAAATATGAACAAAAAGATCAGAAGCTCATTAAAGGAATAATATAACATGACCAAAGGGGATTATGTTTTGGGAATGTGGTAGGTTAAAATTAGGAATTCTATTAATATTATTCAGCATAGTAATAATTGGAAAGAACAAAACTATCAGAAAACATTTGACAGAATTCATTTTCTTTTTCTAAATGTTTTAAATTTCTCCTAATAAAATTAGGGGAAAAAATGAGTACTGCCTCAAGATACATGTCACTTATTGCCTTCTATATGTGTTATTGACCTTGAATACAATGGAGACAGCTGACAATTCCCAAGTTAACTCTTCAAAGAACTCAGTGTAAAGATTATCCTGCTTCATCCATGTACTTGAACTTCTCAGAAGTGAGTTATAATTAGGAAGGTTATGGTTCTGGGCTGATCTCTTTAAATTTATAAAGATGTATATGAAGAGTATTTAATGAGAGTTGGCGAACACTTGACTTGTGCTTCTTTATCTTCTGATATATAAAAAAATGAGCAAATTTAGGATCATTCTAATTACTCTTATCTATAATCTTTTGAAATGTTTTGACTGCACACAGCTGCAAAACAATGAAATAATTGTAGATTCTGAAAATGAGCCCATTTTATATATGGTGGTATATTAACAGAGGCTTCCATGTTAGGGATGGACACTGATCAGTGTATCTTTCACATTAGCTAATTAAAAACTATTACTGATAGATAGGTACCTAAAAACTTCTTAGATTCTATGCTAGTGATCATCATTAATTGTAAAATAAAGTTCTCCATGTTTAACTCAGAAAACAAATCAGTGTTATACATGAGACATCACAGAGGAAACAGGTACTTAAGATGAAGTAAATTTTTTTTCCACCTCTGTCTTGGATGTCTCAGGACCTTGTGAGAGGTCACCTAATTTCTCACAGCTTTAGTTTACTACCTTACTTCCTCATAAGATTGCTTTGGGAAGTTAGTTTTACTGGAATTGATTTGAAAAGTATTATGTTATATAAACGGTTATGATTTTTGATATATTTAGTCAGAATTGGTTAGCATTTTTCATTCTTCCTCATTCTGTGTTTTTCTGATTTTTTTTTTGTTTGTTTGGTTTTTTTTTTTTTTTGCTAAATGTGCATTCCTTAGGGCATTACACTGGAAGAGTTTGACAAATTATCTTTCAATATGATTTTAATGAGCCCACCATGTCAGCCATTCACAAGGTATGTATAATGCATAGTAGTCTGTATAATTTCTCTGTTCCGGAAGACCGTCAGCTGTATTTCATAGCTTTGAAATTTTTTATAAATAATTTATTTCATCTATTCATATTTATAATTCAGCATTAATCATAAAGTAAATGACTATTACAGTCAGATGATCAAAATGCTTTTATCAACAGTAGATATGCATGACTGCTTTATATCTGCCTAACCTGCAACATTTATTTCTGGCCCATGTTAGTGAGCATTCTGTCACTGTTACCAAAATTTTCCACAAGAACAACATGGAGTAGGAGAAGTTTATTTGGGGCTCATAGTTTCAGAGGTTCAGTTCATGGTTGGCCAACTCATTGCTTTGGGCCTGAGGTAAGGCAGAGCATCATGGCAAAAGAATGTGGCAGCTCAGAACATAGTGGCCAGGAAGCAGAGAAAGGGGAAGAGGCTGCAGGGAAGATGTACCCTTCCAAGACATATAGCCCCAGTGACACACCTCCTCCAGCCACCCCATTTGACACCCAGTTAATCTACTCAAAATAGGTTGTATTGATGAGGTGACAATTCTCATAATAATTTTATCTCTGAATGTCCCTGCACTAATACAGGAACTTTTGGGGGATACCTTATATCCAAACCATAACATGGCCCAAACAATCTTAACTTATTTAAACTATTGAGCATTCAGAATATCTTTCTAATACTGGTTAATGAAAGTGAATTATCATAATATACAGTCAAGTCATAATTACTTAATGTAAAATTCAAAAGCTAGTCTAGCATGCATTTGTGTATTTTATATTTCTTAAAATTGATATCTGCATTTAATATTGTGAATTTTTCACAGCTACATTATAATTTCATTAAGGAATTAAATAATATTTATTTGATTATATGTTTCAAGGAATTATAGTATAAATGAAATATTTTTCCCCCTTTTTTTGCATGCTGGGGATTGAATTCAGGATTTTGCATATGATAGGCAAGTGCTCTACCACCAAGTTACAACCACAGTCCTCAAATGAAATCTTGACTAATTCATCTTTGCTTAAATATTTTTAATACTAGTAATTTAAGTTATTTTAAATAGTAATAATCACCTAAGTGCATTACATAGAGCATATCATTTAATAAGCTTATGGGATAGGCATTATTGTTACATTTTATAAGTGAGAAACTGAGCTATAGAAAGGTTAAGTCACTTTCCTACAACAACAAAATTAGTGAATATCAGAGTCGGGATTTATTAATCGTTTTATACATTCCTGTTTTAATATGTTTACTTTTTAAGTGGAAGAACATCCAGTAAATATTCGGACTCAAATGAATATTCTTATATTTTAGTAGCTCACTAGGAAACTAATTCCCCAAGGATTTATTGTGTACCTAAATGCCATACATTGTTTTTGATGCTGGAGTTCCTGTCCTTAGGGAGCTTATAGTTTAATGTGAATTACTGGCAAATAATCATCTTATAATGTGATGTAAATCATATACTAAAAAAATATTGGAAGCCCTGAGAGAGTAAGCCTAGAGCATAAAATGGCTCATTGTGTACTAGGTAACATTTTTGTATACTAGACATTATTACAGAGGTGATGTCTGAGCTGTATCTGAAAGACAATGAGGAGTTTACCTGAGAAGGCAGAAGATATTCCATATAAAGGTGGTTCTAGGTATATATGAATTAGGTAGGATATACAGAACAGAATGCAGCCCCAGCACAATGAAGCATTCGTGTATTACTGCAGTGGGCCCCCAGTATCTTTCCTGCTACCCCACATACCATGACTGCATTAGCTCAGCTCTGGCTGCTGAGGGCAGCAGTAACTGATTCTGTAGTTATCATTTGGAACACAGAGGAAAGGGACAGAATGTGAAGAAACAAACATTTCTGAGAAATCTGTTCAAATCCACTCTAATCCCTTTGCAAATCTTCAGTCCACTGATGGTTTTGGCCCTCCTCTCAGGAATGAACAAACTAAGTGATGTCAAGTAACTTATCTAATACTAAGAGGCTAATAAGTAGCAAGGTTTTAAACCCTGATCCTCTATTCCTAATTTGCAGGCCCAATCCAAGTCTTCCTTTCTACTTGACCCTTGATCATATTTTGAATTTTATGAAGTGTAATTGCTAGCCCAGATAATGCCTGTTGATATAACCCGTCCTGACCCTAGTTGGTTTAACCATGTTGCAACTCCTGCTTATAGAATAGTTTTCAGCTTAAGTCTGTATTTACATTGGACAAGATTGTCTAGTCATCTTATTATTTAATCTGCTTAAATGATGATTATCACTGTGCCATCAACTCCAAGTTACCACCCTACCCAAACAGCTTATCTGAATTCTTATTGTCTCTTTTGGAACTGAGCAAGATGTCACCAGCAATTGTATATGTGTATTTTTCCTAAACAAAGTGATTTTAAGAGAATAATTGGTTTTATTACTCATTGACTTATTATTATTATTCTTTGCTTTGTGTGAATTACTTTGACATATTGCTTTGTAAAAATAAATTTTAGATTTGTTTATTAGATCTATAAGGCTTTTTTCTTTTTAATTAAATTAAATGAATAAATGCATTTTGTTTATGATAGCAACAGAAATGATCATTTTTTGTCTGTGAGAGGACCAGCTTTAATTCTCAGTTTTGACCTTTTAGAAGTGATTTGATATCTTTATATAAAATTCTTCATAATTTTTTTTTGTTTTCTTTGTTCCTTTAGAATTGGCTTACAGGGTGATATGATTGATCCAAGGACAAATAGCTTCTTATACATTCTAGATATTCTCCCAAGGTAAAAACTTACATTCTTGTCCAAATTTATCTTATACTGAAGACTATGGGTCTAGAAGAATGTGGGTTTCATTTCGTAGAAATTAGTAGTTTATAAATATTCCCTTTAGATACTATGCATACCATTTATTGTCTTATGCCATGACTAATAGAATAACTACAAATGTTTTATGATTTCACACTTGCCATGACAGTGAGTGACAGGGAGTTACAACTTAACTAGCTAATTCTATTGCCTCTGTTCATAATGGTAATGCAAATGATGCTTTTGTTAGTGAATACTGTTGCCCGTGGCCTAGAAATTTGTGTTAACCCTAGACATTCTCATGCCATGTGAGTGGCAGTCCTTTGAATTGTATAATGCAAAGGCTTTGCACAAACCCATATTTTGAGATGAGCTTCAGTGGAAATTAACATTTAAAGTGTAAACTTTATCAAGCATGCCATGTTTATGGAGAAAAACAAAAAAAAATTGAGTTGTTTCCATCATATACATTTTTATAAAAAGTTCAGAAAATTATTTAACCTTATAGTTCCCACAAATAATGATTTTCTTTACTTTTTAATTCTTAGTAGTTAAATATTTAATATTCCATTTGTTTTCTTTTTTTTAGATTACAAAAATTACCAAAGTATATTCTTTTAGAAAATGTTAAAGGTTTTGAAGTATCTTCTACCAGGTAAAAAATGTATTCGTCTTTTCTACATCTTGGTGTATTTTATAGTAGGAACTATTGTGAAATAAAGAACTCAAAGATAAACACATACAATCTGGCATTTTATATGTACTAAATATTTTATTTATTAGTATTGCTTGTGACTAATAATATAAAAGGTATTACAGAGGATTTTCTAGAAGGCTGTGCTAGAGACTTACAAAGTTTTGTTCTACTGATTGTCCTCCATTTTGATATGTTTGAATTTTTCCAGAATGAGCATTGAATTTCATGGGAATGATTTTTCTCAATATTAGTCATTTATATTGGTGACTGTTGATTTTGAAACAGAAATGTTTTTTATCAAGAACTAGTCCTGTTGATGGGCATTTCCTGCTCTACAGTTAGACATTAGAAGAAGCCTTGCATCAGGATTTTGTCAGATGGTAGCCCAGGTGGGCAGAAGTCATCCGTCCGAGTCCTTGATTCACCTGCTGTCCATCATACCAGTGTTCTCATCTGATCTGCTACCAGGAAGATATAGTTTTAGTACCCATGGAAAATCCATCATCAATAGATTAGCAATTCAAACTTTTCATCAATTTAGATACATTATCTGGCATCTTTTACTTATAAGAGAATTATCTGTGTCTTTTTATTAAAATATAAATTTTCAGATACTGGAACTGAAATTAAGATAATTATCTTTCTAAACAGCTTGAGTTCAGTTACAATTTTCACTTACAATGAAGCTTTCTATACACTATTTTATATAAGAACCCCACTTGCAAGAAAAGGGTGAAAATTCTACTCTTTCTTTTCTCTTTTCAGAGACATGTTGATAAAAACAATAGAAAATTGTGGCTTTCAGTACCAAGAATTTCTGTTGTCTCCAACCTCTGTAGGTACAACAATTATAATCCATTATATAAATTATAATTTAAAGGCTTTTTACCCCAATGTAAATTTTATTCAATAAACAGAATAGCTTTATAATATTTTATGCAAATTCTGAAATTATGTCAGACAGGGATCTTGCTTTCTAAACACTGTAGTACATACATATAGATATGTATTGGAGAATATGTTTTTATTTTATTTTTCCTGCACTGGGAATTGAACCCAGGACCTTGTACATGCTAGGTAAATGTTCTATCACTGAAGCAATGTATTATTCTTTTGAAAAATAAAGGATAGCACATTTTGGAAATATATAAATGTGGCATTTACAAACTAGGTGTGTTATCTAGATAATGCCTGAAAGTAATCCAAAATAGAAAAGGAAATGAACCATATGATAATTTTCCAATTATGCTTTTTATGACATAGCATTCAGTCACAAACATTCATGGTTAAGAAATTAAGGTAACTGGTTGTAAGATAAGCTATTTGTCAAATTTTGATTTTGCAGGTATCACTGTTGTTTGACATTTTTTTGTTTTGTTTTTCATAATCTTTTCTGTATTATATAGTTCTTTGTCCAGAAATGAAAAGAAAACCCACTTAAAAAATTAGGTAAACAAGCTGTAGAGATTGGTCATATATTTAATCTCTAAATTTATTTCCTAGTTTTCCCTTTTATCTTCTAAAATAATGAATCTTCCTTTATTAATAAAGTAATAGCCAAGAATAGCTATATTTGATTTTATTTTAAGTGATTACTGAATTAGCAATAATAAGTGTAAAAAATATCTATTTCTTCTTACTTAGAAAGTATAAAATAAAAATTATTCATAGAAATAATGACTTACCAGACTCATTATTTCATTTTAGTAAAGATACAGAATAGCAGTTCAGGTTTAGAAATTACTAGAATTTAACAGGTTTCAAATTTGTTACAAAGAAGTTTTCCAGAAATCAGTAACATAGTTTGCGTTAGCAGAAGCTAGATGTATACCTGTATGAGTTGTTTTACTAGGTGCTAAAGTTAGTACAGATTTCTTTTTGTATAGTAATTAATTGCTCTGCTTTGTTTGCAGCTTGGTATTCCAAATTCAAGGCTAAGGTATTTCCTTATTGCAAAGCTTCAGTCAGAGCCATTACCTTTTCAAGCCCCTGGTCAGGTATTGTTATTATGGTTCATTTGTTATAAATATATCCCAGTCTGCTAACTTATTTTCAAGAACTACTTTGTGTGGATTTATATCTGTCCTATAGAATGTGTATATACGTATAGACCATACCCTATGTCCATCTCCAAGATCTTTGTCCTCTCTGAATGTCAGTTTTATTGGTTTAAACTAAACAAAATCAAAATGAAGCACTCAATTTTCTTTTTTCATTAGGGGGAAAAAAAGTGAAAAGAAAAAAATTACCCTTGGTGTTGTTATTCCCCCATCTCTGCCTACAGTTTTTCTTCTGACCATTGACTATTTGCATTTATCGTTTTCTCTCCCCAAATGAAGATTGGTTACTTTTGATAAAATATAATATACTGTCTTAAAAATTTTTAACACAATGGTTGCATTTTCTTTAAAACTAGTACTATTTCACTTAGTTAATTAAAATAATGTATTAATTAGTACAAGCTAGAATAAAATGCTTAATTGCTGTAGATAGGACTCTAATTATGGGGCCAATTTTATGTACTTTGATTAAAAAATGGGGGTGGATAACAGTTTCAGTGGTTCAATTGGCTCTCTGTAACCATCACTATTAAGTATTAAAATGCCAAATCCTACTAATAGGGAATCAGTTTTGTTATTTCTTTTCTTTGAGACATACTACTAATATATTTCCCTTTCTATAGTGGACAGTTCCAAAAACAAAGTGTGAAGTACATTATCAAAGACTTAATCCTTGAAAATGCCTGGAGTGATTTTTCTTTTATAAAATGGGACTTTATACATGGTTATGAGTTTTGAAGAAACAGGTTTTTCTTGTGGGACTCAAGTAGAAATAACCTTTCATGGTGAAAAGCATTTTTTTAATCACTAGTTTTCTTTTAGATTATGATTGTGTTCTAGTTTTTCCTTTTAAATAAAGAATATGGAAAATATATATTTTTTGAAATGTAATGTTGCTTTCTAAACTTTTTCAAATATTATACTGTACCCATATTTAATATACTTCCTATTACTTTGTTGAATGTTTTGTTAATAAATACAGAAAACAGTAATTCCATGAAATAAATCATCTGTAGCCTGATGACACTATAGCTATATGATTAATAACTTGAAATAACTGGTACAAACACAAGATAGCCACAGTTCCTTTCTAATAACAACACCATAAACATTAAAGAGGTATTTACATAATGTTTACTGAACATTACTAATTTGTCTTTTATTTTTAATAAGTCTTTTGACAGTTTCTATTTTTTTTTTTTACTTAATGCCAGGTACTGATGGAGTTTCCCAAAACTGACTATGAGTATCCACAAAAATGTGCAGTGGATGCAGAAAATAAAATTAAAATAAAGGAAACAGAACCCAATATTTGCTTTGATAGCAGTATGGAATGTTCTGGAAAAGATGCCATTCTTTTTAAGCTTGAAACTGTAGAAGAAATTAAAAGAAAACATCAACAGGACAGTAATCTCTCTGTGCAAATGTTAAAAGATTTTCTTGAAGATGATATTGACACCAATAAGTACATTTTACCACCGAAGTCTTTGCTGCGATATGCTCTTTTATTAGATATTGTTAAGCCCACTTGCAGAAGGTCCACGTGCTTTACCAAAGGGTAAGTTTGAAAGAGACCTTATTCATGTTATATTCAAAATAACCAGGTTTTTATAGCTGTTATTTCCTTTAGTTCTTCTCAAAACAAGGAGAATTTTATAAAATGTTTCTGATAGCATTATTACTTGTATTGTTGTTATTTTTGCCCCTAATTGCCTGCTTCATGTTCCAGTAGAACACAAGTGAAAATTCCTTCTGGCAGAACATTATGTACACCACCCACAAAAGTGTTCAGAAGAGACAAAGCCATTTGTTTCATGACCTTCATAGGAGCTTAAATACTCAGGGTGTAAACATGGTTTTTGTAGCTCATCAATTTCCAGTGTTTTAGCACCTTTCTTTCTATGACACGTCAAACTTCTAAGAGTTATGTCCACTCTGTGATCATTGTATAAGAAGAAGTTATATTTTAATCTAAATAAATAAAATTGAGTCAGCTGAAGCACATTCAATTAATTTTTAATTTAAATTTTACTCAGTTTTTTGAGGGAGTAGTATATTTCCATGGTTCAAAATTCGAAAGTCACTAAATTTTTTTGTTTGTTTTTGTTATTTTGCGGTGCTGGGAATTGAACCCAGGGTCTTTGAGCATGTGACGCAAATGCTCTACCACTGATTCAGAGCCCTGGCTCTCAAGGTACTAAGATTGTTTAAGATTCCCTTCTACTTCTATTTCTTGGCCATTCAGTATCCCTTCTTGCAAGCAAACCAATATATCAATGTACTGTGTAACCTTTCTGAGGTATTATTTGTAAGGATGTGTTTAAGTACATTATTATATGCCTTTTTTTCACTGCCCAGTATAAATTGGATATTATTTCACATCAGTGCATAAAAGTCTTTTTTATTTTCCTGGTATGGGTATATCATTATTTGTTTTACTCATTAGTTACTGACTAACATTTAGGGGGCTTCTTTTGAATGTTTAAAACATTTTTCATCAATGTTTTTAAACCTAGAAAGAACATTAGGCCTTTTCAGAAATTTTTTGCCAAAGATCCCTACCACTCAGCCTCATTTGACAGGTAGTTGTATGATTTGACAATTCAAGCATTTTCTTCTTACCTTCTCACTAGATACGTTGTATAAGACACTGTGCCCCTGGTACAATCCTGGCAAACTTATTCTAACTTTATCATACTCTGCCCTTGTACTTTTAGGGGAAAGGGTTTATTACTTTACAGTACCTTAAAAGACTTCACTCAGCTGTTGTCTATTACCAAGTCCAATAGGTTCTGTTTAGGACTCTCATAAAGTAAGACTTATCAATTCTGTGATAAAAAGCAACCTTGAAATTCTTGAGATGGTATAAAAGAAACTTTAATGTCTTTTTTATTATAGATAATATATGTAAATACAAATTTATATGCACAGTATATGTGAAAAAACAATTTCAAAAAATTATTTTTCCTTTGTGTGATTTTTTTTCAATTTATATATTAAAATTTTCTCTTTGCAAAAAATAATGTTAATATGTTGAACAGCTAGCTTGATAATGGTATTAGAGAAAGAAATAATACAAATACCTTTCATTTCTGAAGAATTTTATACTTTTTATGTTTTTTACTTGATGTTCTAATTCTTTTTATTTTTTGTAATTTTTTTCTTTTTGTTTTAGAGCTTAATGGTTATGTTCTAATTGTTATATGAAAATGATTGTAAAGACATACTGGGTTAAATGAAGGGCAAACCCAGGCTTAGAGGGACTGTATTTATATGGTATTAGAAAGCAGGGCTTGGACATCATGAAAGGATAAATGGTTCAGGCATTTAAAAAAAATGGCCACAATTTATTTTCATGTATTTAACATTTGGTGTAATGTGGCAGGATGCCAGTATTGAATTGTCTTTTAATATAAACTTCATAGTTGCTAGTGGTGAACATTATAGATGCGAGAATTAAAAAATGACAATAATACATAATTTAATGGTGTTTAAGCAACTCAAAAAACTGTTTCATGTTTGGGTTTTGAAAATTTTAAGTAGAGTTATCTTGTGATTTTTTACCTTATAATTTTTCAAAGCATATTATATCATCTGTAATGAATGTGATATCATTCCAGATATTTCAGAACCATGTAGATTACATCATTCAAGAAATAAGAAATTAAGCATTAACAAGTACATTAGGTACTGCATAATATTCATGTTAATTTTTCAGTTATGGAAGCTACATAGAAGGGACAGGATCTGTGTTACAGACTGCAGAGGATGTGCAGGTACCATGGATGTTTTAAAACTGAATTTTTTTTTTTAATTTATTTTTCAGTTTTCGGTGGACACAACATCTTTATTTTATGTGATGCTGAGGATCGAACCCAGCGCCTCCTGCATGCCAGGCAAGCACGCCACCACTTGAGCCACATCCCCAGCCCTAAAACTGAAATATTTTAAAACTTTCAATAATGTTACATCAGCTGGTGGTATAGCTCAGTAGTAGAGTGCTTGCTTAGCATGCACAAGGCCCTGGGTTCAATACCCAGCACTGAAACAAAAATATTATTATTATGCTCATCATTAGTAGTACTTGCTTGTAATCCCAGCTACTTGAGAGGCTGAGGAATGAGAATCTTGATCAAGGCCAGCCTGGGTAATGTTGTCAGACACATTTAAAAAAAAAAAAAATCTACATTTAATACTTAATTTGAGATTGTCAAAACAATTTTACATGTTCAATTGGGAATGAATACTTTACATGTTCAGCCAGGAATAAATATGTTATTCATTTATGTACATATATATTCATATAATTTCTTTGGTATAAGATAAGTCTTATTGCTGTGTATGTGCTTATGCATAAGGAAGGTTTTGTTTTTATTCTTACTTTTGTTTTTCTTATATTCTGCATTTCTTTTTTTGCCATAAATAGTAAGTTGAAATTTAGCCTACACTAGTGAATGCTCTAAAATTTCCATAGGCATGTTAATATTGGAGTCCTCTTTTGTAGCACATACTATAAAACTTCCTTTTAAGGAAAACAAAATCTGTTTTAGCAATATACTTTTTAAATTCTTTAGTTGTAAACTCTTCATGGTGTTCTGGTTGAATATATGCCTAGTAGTAAGTTTTATATTTTTTAAATAATTTTAAGTCCATATTATCTTCTTTTATGCTGATTCAAACTCTTAACTATTAATAAAATTTACTCAGGATAAAAGTACTGTCATATGCAAATGAAAGTCTGGATTTGAGAAATCATTTAATATATTTTGCCATTTTAATAAAGTTTCTTAATTGGATCAAATTGATGGTCAACAACAAATATTTTCAATGATCTTGTTAACATTGTAAAATTGGCTTTGTTGGTTGACCTAGTTTCCTTTATATCTTTTAGTATATTTCTGTTTTGTAATATTGTCAGTGATTATTTATATTATGATTAATTTTAAGATACCAAAAATGACAGATATACTGGTAAGTATTCTGATCAATGTTAGCCTTTTCTTCTTTTTCACAGTTTAGATTGCCATTATTGAGACAATTATCTACTTTATTACACAGACACTTTTTTGCCCATGCATTTTGCTACCATGTATTAGTTCAGACTATATGTCCACCTTCTTTTTTTCTTTTTTTAAATTTGTTCTTTTTAGTTATACATGACAGTAGAATTTATTTTGACATATCACATATATATGGAGTTTAACTTCCCATTCTTGTGATTATACATGATGTGTAGTTACACTGGTTATATATTTATGTATGAACAAAGGAAAGTTATGTCTGATTCATTCTACTTTCTTTCCCATTTATGTCCATCTTCTTAAAGCTGTCTCACTATTGGAAATCTTAACAAATATGGTTCCACACTACTTTTTCAGTTATCTTGGATGTTTTCTTACAGATTGAGAGTATCTACAGATCCCTTAGCAATTTGCCACAAGAAGAAAAGATAACAAAGTTGTCAATGCTTAAGCTGCGATATTTTACTCCTAAAGAAATAGCAAATCTCCTTGGATTTCCTCCAGAGTTTGGTATGTGGGATCATCTTTCATTTATTGAAATTCTCAAAATTCATTAGAGAATTTTTATTTATATATATATATATATATATAAATGATGAGTAAGCCCTTGCCCACACAGGTAGTTTCAAGAAACTTCCTTTCCTGATTGTGCCTTTGGGGGCATTTTCCTGTCCTCTTTACCCTTTCCCTAATAATCTGCCTCTCAGTCTATTCTCTTCCTACTCAGTTTGCTCTCTCCTTTAATTTTAGTAATGGGTCAGAGTTCATTGGCAAAAATGGGCAAATCAACAATTTTTTATTCTCCCACTGATGATTGTTAAAGCATCTTCTTTTCAGCTTATCTTCTTGCTTCCGGATGTCTGTTTTTTCTTAACTTTCATATTTTTTAATTGTTTTTTTTTAAATATACATGACAGTAGAGTTTATTTTGACATATTATACATACAAAGACTATAACTTATTCTAATTAGAATCCCATTCTTGTGGTTGTACATTATATGGAGTTTCACTGCAGAGGTTTAATTTTAGTAAACCGTACACTAGGTCTTATGAAAGAATGCCTATGATTAGCTTTTTGAATGAAGAAATTAACAGGCAGTTTAGTTGAGAATTTGGGGGAATTTATTTGTATTTATTCTCCTCCACAATACATTTTCATCTGTTGTGTGTCTTTGTCCTTCCCTACAAGGGTTAATTAATGGAGAACAGGGAAGATGGAGAGGTAGTCTAGGAAAGAACTTTCCAAAGGAAAGAAAGGAACACAGATGCCAGACTTTACAAAGATTAGGAGATCTGTACCAGGGCATCTCAAGGACAAAAGTGAAGATGGGGGTATAGAGTGAGAAACCCAGATTTCTAACTCCATTGGCAGTCCAGGATCTCTGGGAATTGTTGCTGTAAAGAGATCGGATACTCTTGCTTGCTGAAAGCAGTGGTAACCCCTTTCTGATCTCATTGTGGGCCAGTGCTCTCAGATGGCTTTTTTAGGCCTGGCAGTGGGTGTGTTCCAGTACCTGGCTAATGGGCAGAGAGAAACATAGACCTCCCTAACCAACTTCCAAGGTCTACAGAAGGAGGAAATGTGCTTTTGACAACTCTGAGTAGAAATTTGAATGTAGAAAAGTGAAACTGTTAAATCTAATATTATTGTAATATTAATAACACTACTATTATTGAAATAAATAATGGGTAAAATAAATCATGTTTCAGATTCTACATAATGAATTTGCAGATGATGTTTTAAACATAGACTTCTTTGTACATTGGGAACAAACTGGCAATGTAGTGAGTTGTCTGAGCACAGCAACCAAGTTTATTTTCTACTACCTGCATTTATTTATTTATTCATTCATTCATTCAGTCAGTCAGTCATTTTTGCTGATACATTCAGTTCCAAATATCCTGGGGAGTGTTATTAAGAAAAACATACTTTCCTTGTCTTAGTTTATGTCACAAAGTGAGTGAAACAATATCACAGAACAAATGAAGACCTGAGAATTGGACTGAAGAATTCCAATTTTGAATTTGCTTTTCTAGTTACTATTTTTTTATTTTTTTGAACAATCAGATATATTTTACAGACCACTAAAGAGAGACAAGCAATTGACTATCAAATAAAAATGAATACCTACATTTTATTACAGTATTTTTTTTATTCTAGAAGTGTAGTAGTCACTCTGATAAAATTCAAACTTGGTGAGGGATACAGACAGAGCCCAGAGTCAGACTGAGTTTGAATACTAGCCTCATTTTAACCCCTCTCTTAGATTACAGTTTCCTTGTTTGTAAAACGAGGGTAATTATAGCACCTATTTCATAGGGTTCCTGGGACAGTTAAGTGAGTTAGTGTGTTTAAAATGCCTACATAATATCTGGGACAATATAAAATTTGTTTGCTTTTATTTTAAAATGGCAGTCATTTATTTACTTTTGTAGCCTTATTTCATATTTTTTCTATTTAAAAATTTTAGGTATATAAATAGATTTTTTTCAAAGTTCTTTAAAAAAATATATATATATATATTCATGCAAAAAGTGTCTTTTAAATTGCCGAATCTTCTTTTATGTGGTATATTTGTATAGAGAAGCTTGCCCTTATGTTACCACTGAGCAGCACCATGACACACTGTCCTTCACATGTGTTTCCAACTTTATTGACTCTGAGTCCAAAAATGGTGACTGTTTGAGCTTTTTGTCCACTGGCAGTGATAGATTTGCATTGATCCTTCTGTACATTTTGTTCTGGTTCTTTGTGATTGGCAGCACACATTCCTGAGGTAGCAGACTTTGGAAGAGAGGGACTCTAACTAGATGAAAGCTACTATTTGACCTTGTTAATTTCCATTTCTTCTAAGGATTATTATTACTTTAATGTTTCTAAGTTTTTAAAAGGTCACCTTTTAATCAATTATGTAGCTTTTCCTGTAAGTTTAGACTTAACATCTGTACATAAAATACACATGGAGACACAGACACATACACACATACACACACAATTTTTAGGAATTTGACTTTTTTCCAGACCTTTTCCCCTCTTTGTTGTAATCTTAGTATGGCAAAAGATATTCTAAAGGCTTGGGATATTCTAAAGGCTTATTTGTAGATAACACTTGTACCTCTGGCTACTTTGATCTAGTTTTTGAGATGAGTAAAAATTTGCACCCAAAACGTATGGTATGCTCTCTATTTACCTCATTTATTGTTTCTTTTGTTAAGAAGAAGCTTTTTAGTTTGAATCTATCCCATTTATTGATTCTTGATTTTAATTCTTGCATTATAGGAGTCTTATTAAAAAGAAGTCAGGGCCTAATCCAACATGATGGCGATTTTTTTCTATTAGGCGCAGTGTGTCTGGTTTAATTCCTAGGTCCTTGATCCACTTTGAGTTGACTTTTGTGCATGGTGAGAGATAGGGGTTTAATTTCATTTTGTTGCATATAGATTTCCAGTTTTCCCAGCACCATTTTTTGAAGAGGCTATCTTTTCTCCAATGTATGTTTTTGGTGCCTTTGTCTAATATAATTATGTGGGATTGTCTCTGTGTCCTCTATTCTGTGCCATTGGTCTACCAGTCTATTTTGGTGCCCATACCATGCTGTTTTTGTTACTATAGCTTTGTAGTATAGTTTAAGGTCTGGTATAGTGATGACACCTGCTTCACTCTTCTTGCTAGGGGTTGCTTTAGCTATCCTGGGTCTCTTATTTTTCCAGATGAATTTCATGACTGGTTTTTCTACTTCTTTCTTTCTTTCTTTTTTTTTTTGGCAATTTTGGGATGTTTTTTCTATTTCTATGAGGAATGTGATTGGGGTTTTGATTGGAATTGCATTAAATCTGTATAGTGCTTTTGGTAGTATGGTCATTTTGATAATATTAATTCTGCCTATCCAAAAGGCAGATTTTTCTATGTTCTAAGGTTTTCTTTAATTTCTTTCTTTAGCATTCTTTGCCTGTGATATATTATCTTTAGGATATGAAATTTATAATCATGATCAATTGCAAATAATGGTTTTTTAATAGTAATTACTGTTTATTTTATTGCTATTAATATGTCAAGAATTAATGAAGCATCTTTAGAATAACTAACTTTACCCCTGATTCTTACAAATATAATGAAATTTTACTATTTTTAATGCTTTTTAATTATGTCCTTCATTTTATTATCTAATTTAAATTTCCTTTAATTTATTGTTATGCCAAGAATCCTGAGTGTGAATAGAAGTCCATCATGAGAAAAATCAGTATGTGTTAACAATGTATGAAAAAACAACTGATGAATTTGTAGCTAGAATATGTAAAGAAACTTACAAGTTAACAATAAAAAGAAAAGATAGTCCAGCTCAAAAATGTGCAAAGCATTTCTTTAAACAAGATAGACAAGTGGCTAATAAGCACATGAAAAAGGTGTTTAATATGTTTAATTATTAGGGAATTGTAAATCAAACCAGATCATACTCATTAGGATGGCTAAAATAAAAGATGGTACTAATATTGGCAAAGATGTGAAGAAATTGGAACTCTCATTGGCTGCTGGTGGAAATGTAATGGTGTCTCCTGCTTCAGAAAGCACAGTACTGCAGACATTAAACATAGCATTTTTGTATGACTCAAGAGCTTCACCACTAGTTATATGTACAAGAGAACTGAAAACATTTTCACACAAAAATTTATACATGAATGTTCATAATAACATTATTCACAGTAGCCCAAATGTCTTGCCAATGAATGAATGGATAAATAAAATGTGGTATATTCAGGCAATAAAATTTTCCTCATCCATAAAAAGGAGTAAGTATTGAAACACACAACGGTGTGAATGAACCTGGAAAACATTATGCCAAGCAAGAGAATGTTTTAACACAAAAGAACATATTTTATGGTTCCATTTATGTGAAGTGTTCAGAATAGAAAAATCTATAGATAGAGAAATTAAATTAGTGGTTGGGGGACATGAAGGGGAAGTAGCAAAAGACCGTTAATAGGTATGAGTTTTCTTTTTTGAAGTAATGAAAATGTCCTAGAATTAGTAGAGATGTTTAAAAAATAAACTATTCTAAAACCACTGAAATTTTACAGGTGAATTCTAAAATTCATCAGTAAAAGGGTGAATTTTATCTCTATAAAAATGTTACAAGATAAAAGAAACAACTTAGAAAAAAATGATAGCCAGTACTTTATCTAAAGTTCATTAATACATGAATTTTTATGAATTCAATTTCTGTGAACAGCTATGTGTACATATGTGCATGTATGCATCACCCATAACTTGATGCTATATAATATACTGGGATATGATAATATCTCATCATGTGGACAGTATAATAAAATTCTACATAATATTTTTGGATCCAGACTCTTCATTTATCAGTAAAACTTAACAGAGACTTTAGTGATTTACAGTTATATGTTGTTGAACAATGAGGATGCATTCTGAGAAATGTATCCTCAGGCAACTTCATAATTGTGTAAACATAATAGTGTACTTACACAAACTAAGAATTATAGTGTCACTAGGTGATATCAATTTATGAGACTACCATCATATGTGCTTGTTGACTGAAATGGTGTTATGAAATTATCCCTGTATCTTTGTTAAAGGATGCATCCTTTTAGCTATAGAAATTACTATTACAAATGATCAATTTTTATCTCTCTTTTTTAGGATTTCCTGAGAAGATAACAGTGAAACAGTGTTACCGTCTACTTGGAAATAGTCTCAATGTGCATGTAGTAGCTAAGCTGATCAAAATCCTTTGTAAATAACTTTGAAATAACTCTGGAAAAGGAACATGATATTCTTTCATGCCCAGATTGTAATTCTTAAATTCTATTTTGAAGTAATGTTGATTACATTTAACTAAGTTATTTTAATCTTTCTTTAAAAATTTTAGAATTCATCTCAAAATTTAGAATTTCTCACAAAAATAAATTTGTTTTCTTAAATTTATATTACTGTATTTTATAAGTTTTGCTTTATAGAGAATATATTTTCATTTGAAAGTAATATATATATCTTTATAATATGTATATTATATGTTATATATAATATGTTATTATTATCTTTACAATATTATTACTCCTAAACTTAGAATGGTGATTCTAATGCTAGCATGTTTGAAATATTGGATGTTTTACTTAATTCCCATCTTTTGGATATTTTACTTAAATCCCATTCTTTAAATGTTTCTTAATTTATTGTAAACAGATACTTATGATATTTGAAACCAAATTGTCATTAATCAACTTATACAGCAGTCTGAAGAATATAATAGAAAAATTAAATTCATGATTACTTCTTCATCAGGAGGCCTTAGCAAACTTAGGTGTTTATTATCTAATTATCTTTATCTTTCATCTCTCTCCGAAGGGCCAAACTCAGTATGGACTTCGCTTTAGTTTGCTATTATTAGAGTTTGTTTTTGCCTCCCTTCTCAGCTTGTGAGTTAAATTTGCCTGCAGTCTAAGGAATGTAATGTAGCATTAGGAATTTAGGGAGGAAATTCTACTCTGACCCCATTATATATGGTGCTAGTTCCCCCCACCTCATTTTTTTTTTTTTAATTGTTGTGACATGCCTCTGATTTAACTTTTATAACTTTTAACTTTGTTGTTTCTCCTTGCCAGAGACTTTTTGGAATTCAGGTTTCTCATCAGCCTGAATCTTGCATCATAAATCTTGCAGTTTTGATTTTAGTAATAAAAGCAAGTGATACAGAGAAATGAAAAGAAACAAGACCAGAAATTATATCACAAAATATTAATTCATATTTTTTATTTTTTAAGCATAATCTAAGCCAGGTGTGGTGACACACACCTGTGCTACTTGGAAGGCTGACGCAGGAGGATTGCAAGTTTGAGGCCAGCCTCCACAACTGAGGAAGAACTTTTCTCAGATAAAAAGGCGGGGGGTAATGGGGGTTGAGGTGGGGATATAGCTCAGTTGTAGAGTGCCTCTGGGTCAATCCTCAGTACAAAAACAAAAACAAAAAAATCATTCCTATATAGAGAAATTTGAACCCTTGTTCATTGCGGGTGAAAGCATAAAATAGTAGAGCTGCTGTGGAAAACCGTGTGGAGGTTCCTCAAAAAGTTAAAGATAGAATTACCATATGATCTACAAATTCTATTTCTGGGTATATACCCAGAAGAAGTGAAAGCAAGAACTTGAACAAATGCTGTGATTATAATAGCATTATTCATAGCATCCAAAAGGTGGAAGCCGCCCAGGTGTCCATCCATCAATAGATAGATGGATAAATAAAATGTATATGTATATAAATACATACAATGGACTAGTATTCATCCTTAAAAAAGAATGAGATTATGATACATGCTGTGAACAGAATGAGCCTTAAGACATTCTAGTAAGTGAAACAAACCAGTCACAAAAGGACAAATATTATAATTCCACTTATATGAGGTACCTAAAACAGTCAGATTCCCAGAGACTATAAGTAGAATGGTGGTTGTCAGGAATAGTGGGAGGGAGAATGAGGGGTTAGTGTTTAATAGATACAGTTTCGGCATGAGGGCTAATGAAGTTCTAGGAAATGGTTGGTGGTGATCGTTTCATAATAGTGCAAAGGTACTCAATGCCACTGAACTGTACACTTAAAAATAGTTGCAATGGTGAAATTTTAAATTATATGTATTTTGCTGCAATTTAAGAAAATTATATTTTATTACCATATTTTCAGAACACATAAATAGATATATTTAGGGAGGTTGTAAGCCAACACATGTATCAACAATCACTATCGACTTTTTATATTTGTGTTTAAAGATAAACTTTATTGCAAGTCTCATAAATTTTATTATACAATCTAAAATCATTTTGGCACACTTTTGTGTAGTTTTCTTCGATGAAAAATTCTTTATCAATAAAATGGTTTATAGTTTAACCATAGTTATACAGTGATTATAATTATGTAATTATAGTATCTGACATCCCATTGAGCAATATTATTTAAAATACATATTAAGTTACAGTGTGCCAACTATAAACACATGAAAGGTCTGTGGAGACATTTGCTTGTAAACTAGAAGACAGAATAAGCTTTATGAAATTTTTAAGTATGTATTGAAGTATGTATTCAAAGGCAGATGATAATTTTGCCCTTAACTCATAATTGAAAATATACACTAGCAAGCATAAATTTTACACCTTAATGAAGATATATTTACCAGTGTCATTTAATCATACACACACACACACACACACACACACATATATACACAAACGTGTATGTGTGTATATATATATACATACACAACTAATTTGGAAAAGTCATTTCATTGAATGCTACATATTGGTAATAAATATGCATAAAATTTGCACCGGAAATTCTGTTTTCTGATATTTCTTATAATTTATTTGGTATAATAGCTTCTATTTTTCAAGAGAACTATATGTAATTAAACCCTTGCTGTTCTTCACAATGAACTGTTTCTTCATTCTCCTTTTTGCATCACTCTGGTCTTTATAAAAGCTTGTTAGGTAATTCTAAGGTATTTATTATCTTGCCTCATAATTTTAGTATTTTTTAAGGACCTAAAACCAGTGACAAAACATGGTTAAATGAATCAATACAAAAATGATTTATAGATGGTTACACAAATTAATACAAGCAAAATTATTTATATTGGAAATTGATTGTGAGGAGGAGATGGGTAATCATCTCAGAAGTCCGAGCCTGACCATCCTTAGTGTAGGCTGTAAAGTTGAATGACGGAGGGTGTAGGTCACCTTTCACTGGGGTGGGCTGTGCATTGAAAGGTAAGAAAATACCTACCACCATCAGCCACTTGCTCTGGAGTCTTTTAAAGCGGCAAAACTAGGAGTTCACATTATAAACAATGACAAGCTACCCAGTACCTTTTTTAAAAGTATGAGACTAATATATTCCTTGAAATGATCTTTTAGAGGTAAACTTATTTGGTAGAGAAGCTCTTCAGTTTCCTTGCGAGCTGCATCACTGCATGTTGAATGTAAAGGTGGATGGTGTTAGAGGCAGGGCAGCCACTTCAGTGCCTAGGTAGGGAGTAGGATTCTTTAAAAAAAAAAAAAAAAATCTTCTGACTTTGGTTTAAATTTCAACCTACTTAATCCAAAATGATTAAATCAGACTTCTGAGGAGAGACAAATAAAGCTAAGGACAAATTAAACTGGTTTAATCCTAGCCATAAGAGTACAGAATAAGGTGCAACTACATTCATACAACATTAAGCATGCACTAAAGGATGCATTCTGTGGGCTGGTTACTGTATCTCGAACTAAACAGAGTGACTAAAGTCACTCTGGTTACCCTTGTTTTGATAACTTTATAATTTAGAGTCAAGAGAAGTTCTTAAATAAGTCCAGGTCAACAATGAGGAACTTATTTTAAGCCCATATATACAAAGTGGTTGAAGTTTGCTTTTCTGAGTTGGTTATGGTGTTTAAGAGAAGTATAACTTGGGCTGGGCATAGAGCTCAGTTATGGAGCACATGTTCAGCATGCTCAGGACCCTGTTGCTGTCCCCAGCAGCAACAACAACTAAGAATTTAACTTCTAATTTGGTCTTATTATTTTACTGATAATTTGAAAGCCACCAGTTAATCTCCTGACTGACTACTAGCTTTGGACTTTGAAACTGAGTGAGGGTCATATGGACTCAGCAGTTTTCTCAAAGCCTGTGGTTGAACTCAAGATTATATAATTTTTTAGATACAGCCTTTGGACCTCTCTGCTGGTTAATTTTTTTCCTCTCAATGTTTCCTGTCCAAGTGTAGCGCATACAGCTATCATGTCAACTTTTGGCACGTGTCTTTTCTGGTTCTCTTTCCTCATTTGTCACACCCAAGATGTCTACTCACACCGATATTATATTTGGGAGTATCCTTCTGCATGTTGTATGAAACAGCAGTTAAGAATCTCGCATATGTTCTCCAGTTCAGACTACACCATTCAGCCTGTCTGCACGTTTTCCCTCTTGTCATTCCGTTTCTTTGCTACTGAAATTTTTAAAAGTTTACATTAAAAATTTTTTCCCCTGTTTCTTTTTTTTGAGATCTCTGGGAACATTTTATTCTTATGGTCTTCAAAATCTTACACAACCATGATTTAAACTACATCACCATTGTTTGTCTTCATTTGTGAGTTTATTTTTAAATGTATTTGCTCAAAAAAAATATAAACATATAAAAGACTCTTTCGACTTCTTGATTCCCAGGTTCTAAAATAAATTCATTTTATATTTACCATAGGTTCTGAGTCTTTTTTCAATGATGTTTAACACTTCAAGGACTCTCATGTACAACATGGTTGATTCCTAAAGCTTCCAAAAATCTATCTCCTTTTTCCTATAAATAAGACACAATATTTTCACAAATACTAAAAATTGGAAGTTAATTTTCCCATATAAATCTGTTCCTTATAGCTTTATGTTGTTTTTATTTCTCTGCTTGTACATAGGATGCTTTCATTGTTTCCTTAAGTATTTGCATTTTGTTTGCATTTCTATGTCTATTCATAACAAGGAAGATTGAAATTATGAGTGTACGTGGTTGTTTAGCCAAGTTGGCTCTATAATCAGATGAGATCACCTAGAAAGGGGAAAGAGAAAGGTGGAGGGAGGCTGGAGCTGAACTCTTAATGTTCCTGAAGATTCCGTTTTTGGATCTCTCTACCCTTCACTGTCTGAACCAGTTTCTCAGATATTTTTCCCTCTTCTTATAACTTCTACCCTTTTCCTGCTGATACTCAGATGACCTAGATCTGATAATTTTCTCAAAGTCCTATTGTAGAATCTTCATGCTGGATCATTTTCAGCTGGGATAGCTTGCAGTCACATCAAATTAAGCATGTTGAAAAATTAAACATCCTATATTCTAAAATCACTTTTCCACTCATGACTTACTAATTCTCTTTATGG